GCTCACTCTCTTAAATAAAATCTTTAAAAAAAATAAATACATAAATCTTCTTTAAAAAATCTAAAATTTCATTCTCAACCATAAAGAACCTTGATTCTGAAACTTCTAGAATATTCTTCTCCCTCTGCACTCCCCCCCAGCTTATGCTCTCTCTCGCTCAAATAAAATCTTAAAAAAAAATAAATACATAAATCTTCTTAAAAAAATCTAAAATTTCATTCTCAACCATAAAGAACCTTGATTCTGAAACTTCTAGAATATCTGGTGCCAGTGTCTTGGATCTGGCTTCACGCCCAGATAAAATCAGGGTTTTTTTTTTTTTTAAGATTTTATTTATTTATCTGAGACAGAATGAGAGAGAGAGAGCGAGCACATGAGCCGGGGGAGGGGCAGAGGGAGAAGCAGGCTCCCCGCCGAGCAGAGAGCTGGATGCGGGACTCGATCCTGGGACTCCAGGATCAAGACCCGAGCCGAAGGCAGTCGCCCAACCAACTGAGCCACCCAGGCGCCCCCAAATCAGGGTTTTTAAAGGAGTTTCAAGGTGAATTTCTATGGACCAGACATGAAGATGGTAACAAGCAATGTCAGCAGCTCATCCACACGTCTCTGCTGAGGGCTTTCGATGCTGCTGTCAGGACCCACCCTAGAACACAACACCTGTTAAGATTCCCAAGCCCTCCTGTCTTTGTCTCTCTCTGATACAGCACCAGCCTAGACTCTCCTGAGCAATTATGCAGGGGGGCATCCTGATGTACCCTATGGCACCCACACTGCTCCCTTTCCAGCAAGGCCCACCGGATGTCTTTGAATCAAGAACGGTCCGGAGCAGATGCAGTGTGTTGGCGAGGGGCCAAATAAAAGAAGTGAGCCATGGATTTTGGAGGAAGTCAGTGAGTTGCAGGTACAGGAGGATTGTGGTTCGCAGTGGTATTTACTGCGGAGGAGGTTTAATTTCGCCTTGCCTCTGGCCTCCTAGTCTTGTTGGAGATGAACTTCTGGAAATGGAAGCTCCTACTACACCTAGATGAATGCTTGAGAGTTAAGACATGTAGACCCACTGGGCAGAAGAAAAACTATATCCTTAGCAATGGAAGTGCTCCAGTCCATTCCAAGGGCTGTCTACACTGGAGGGCAGGCTGGTCACTTACCAAATCAATGATCAGAGGTGTTTTGTTGATAATGTGGTGAGAAAAGTAGGTTTTGGTTGAATCCGGAAGCATAGATTCAATAAATTTAACAAATTCAATAACGTATAACCTCTGGATCAGATGTCTGACATCCTCGGAAGTGGCTGTGTGTGGAATTCATTTGGTGAACACTCAATTAGCATTGACTCCATGGATGGCCTCTTCCAGTCTCTGGGCGCGGGAGAAAAGGAAGGACAGACTGCCCTTGGTGTATAAGCCCATGTACACAAATAACTTCGATTTCAGAAGGCACCTGTCACATGTACATAATCATCCCAGCAAACTTGTGAGTCGGGCATTGTTAATAGCAATCATTCACACATCTTTGCCTCAGCATAAGCTTTGTCTTCTGTTGATGCCTCGTAAAATGGATCTGTTCGATGAATAATGACGATCGCAGTGGTTACCATTTATGGAGGATACACTTTTCACCAAATATTCTGGAAGTATTAGCTAACTTGATCCTCATAGCAGGCCTCTGAATTCTGGCCCTTTTTACTCAGGGCGTCAAGTCACACACCCAGGGTCACAGTCGGAACTCAGATCCTCTGGCTCCACATCCAGTGCTCGCTTGCGCTCTCTTTTTTTTTTTTTTGTTCTTCCTCCAGGTTTTTACTTACACTCAAGCTAGTTAACATACAGTGTACTATTAGTTTCAGGTGCACAATGGAGGGATTCCGGACTTCTGTAAAGCACCCAGTGCTCATCACGACAAGTGCCCTACTTAATCCCCAGCACCTGTTTCCCCCAACCCCCCCTCCCGCCCCCCGTTCCCGTAACCATCAGTTTGCTCTTTCTAAGATGCCATTCCACTTAACTTCTGAACGTCGAGACCATTCCAAATAGAGACAGGAGATGAGGAGTCCGTGGAGGGGGTGTTACGTCTGGCTGTGGAATTCCAGAAACCGCATGGCAGCCTTGGCATTTTAGCTGTACACTTGGAGGCTCATGTATGACCCTGGATAGTGGGGGCCGGCATAGTGAGCCCCCTTTACAGGTTCCCCTCCAGCCCCTCGTGGATGTTGTCTTCTTATTCCTTCTTAATCCCAACACGTGTTCTCAACAGCTCTGCTGAGTAGGAAATCCTATGTCCTGCGGACTAAATGGTTGAGGTAGTTTCTGGCCAGGACAAGGGTGATCTCACCAGGAGAAGGGGGTTCAAGGCTCCATTTGGGGGCAAGATCGGGTATGATGCTTACTCCCTGAAAGAGGCAGATCGGTTTTGAACGAGGTTATGTTCTTGGCTTTTCTTGCTACTGCTTTTATGTCTTTGATGAGCATTCTGCTCTCTCTTGGCTTGTTTCCTTGTCTATAAAACAACTCTATCTTCTGGACTTCACATGACCTTTGGCATTCTCCAATAAGACAAGGGAGGTGGGAGTGCTTTGTGGATATCTCTACCATTGGAAGGCAGTGTCCCTATCGTTCATGATTTTCTCTTAGGAAATATATTTTTTTAAAGATTTTATTTATTTATTTGAGAGAGAGAGATATCGAGAGAGAGCACGAGCAGGGAGGAGAGGGAGAAGCAGGTTCCCTTGGAGCAGGAAGCTCAATGTGCGGCTTGATCTCAGGACCCAGAGATCATGACCTGAGCTGAAGGCAGACGCTTAACTGACTGAACCACCCAGGTACCCCTCTCTTAGGAAATACTGATAACAAATACCCTCTCCACTTTTCAGACATCACAGAAAGTTCTTTTTCTCCGGAGAACCTTGAAATACCAATTATAATTGGGCTTTCCACAGCAAGTAAAGATATCTGTGTGTTATCTAAATACGTAAACCCTATTTTTTTTTAATTTGCTTCAGGAACTTTGAAGAACCAGGTGTATTTGATATCTGACCTTTACTTTTTATTATTTTTATTTTTTTTTTTAAAGATTTTATTTATTTATTTGAGAGAGGGAATGAGAGACAGACAGCAGGAGAGGGAGGAGGGTCAGAGGGAGAAGCAGACTCCCTACTGAGCAGGAAGCCCGATGCGGGACTCGATCCCAGGACTCCAGGATCATGACCTGAGCTGAAGGCAGTCGCTTAACCAACTGAGCCACCCAGGCGCCCTGACCTTTACTTTTTAAACCATGAGTCAAAATACTTAGGAGGCTGTAGGTAAGGTGAGTAGGAAGGGGGCTGGTGGCATTCCCTTCCCTATCAGTCAGGGCATGAATGTTGGAAGGAGAAGTTCAAGGTCTAAATGAATCTGAGACCAAAAAAGAGTGATGAGGTGGACTTGAATTGAATCTCCACCTTGACAGGTAAGAACAGACAATTGATGGCCCAAAGGCTAAAGCAGAGAGTGTTCAAACTCTTCTAGTCAAGTGGCTCATACAGTGGGAACCCCAAAGAAATTCCCTTCCGGAGTGATATTCCTGGTCATTGTCAACACAGAAATCCCACAATGGGACAGAAACATTCACGGTCTCCAAAAACATTCCCCGCTTTGGTCTCAGTTTGCATCTCTCTATCCATTTTCCAGCTCTGAATGGAAGTTTCCTGGGGAGCCTCTTCTATGAATGGAACGCATGAGATTTGCCCCCTGGGAGAAAAATAAACCCAACAAGAACCGACAACAAAAAACTTCTTCCCCTGAAATACTGCAGACAGGAGCAGACAACACCTATCCTTTTTCAAGGACAGGTTGAGATGCCAATCCTCTGGTATTCAGTCCTATGAGGCATGTTGCTTCCTCAGTTTAACAGCAAAGCCTCCTGTCTCACTGATTAAAAACATGAAAAGGGGTTTAAAATTACCTGAGTAAAAAAGGAACGTAGAGGCCTCTCAGTCGCAGATAAACATCAGTTCTTTCTGGTCTGCTCTATTGTCAGCCAAGTACTGGCTCCGTTTCTGCATTGTTCTCCTTGTGCCAAAGAGGGACAGTACACCTTATCCACGGGCTCCTGTTACCCGCGGACACCCTTTTCCATCAGAGGAGGGCTCTGGGGGATGCAGGGCGTTCACCAATTCAAAGAAGGGGAAGAACCACCATTCACATAAGTTATTGGTATACCCGATCCCAGTAAACTTGAGTTTTTGTCTGCACATCATTGTCTAAAAAAACCCAAACCCAAACCCAAACCAAAACCAACGAGTAAGAGAGAGATTATATAGACTACCGATCTGCAGTGCTAACAGAAGAAACACTTGGGTGGGGTGGGGGTGGCAGGGAAGAGGGACAGGCAACCAGTGATTAAAGTCAGGCTTTTGTTTGAAACCTCTTACTACTTTTCCGTAACAGCTTCCTTGCTAGCTTAAGCATTCTCTTCTTGAGCTGGGTGAAGCGTGTCTTTATT